AGATCGCCGATTCGTCGATCCGGATCGCCGATTTCCGATTTGTCGATCTGGATCGTCGATTCGAATCGGTTTTTTGGGAGCCCGATCGGGGTCACCGATCCGTTTTTTAAACCATTGCAATAAACACATGAGCTGTGTAAGCCGAAAAAAATCCGGATGTTTCAAGAAATTAAAAATAAATAAAACCGCCACTATTCAAAAGTACATCCGGATTTCAAAAAATTAAATATAAATAAAACCCTAAAACAGCCGTCTAGCCAAAAAAAATCCAGATTTTAAAAAATAAAAAATAAATAAAACCACCACTATTCAATCCGAATCGCTTGATTTTTTATCGGATCGGATCGACGAGTACACCAATTTTTTAGCTTGACTGGAAAAGCTTTAACAAAAGTTAGGTTACTTATGACCCTTAGGGTTAGTGACACATTAAACTAAAGCAAGGAACCATTGTATGTCTATGACACTTCTCCTTGGATTCCTGAACAAAACAAAAGTGCCATTTGTTTTTTCTCCACATAGCTCCACGAAAAATCCTATCATTAAAAGAAGGGTTTGTTTAGTACATAGCCTAGGCTCTAAATATCAAATTAAAACCTACTTTCAAATAGTATCGAGAAATGTAGTTTCATTTTTGAAAATCTTTGAGACAGCCTTAAAATGTATTTACATATTTATTTATAAATTTTACAGTTTCAAAAATAGTGTAGTTCGACAGATATATGAAAACTTGAAAATCTTGAAAATTGACAGTCCCAAAATATGTTACAAAATGCATTATTTCCAAAATTTGAAATCCAATTTTTTTTCTCCTGCCCATACATCTTGATATCGAGATGATCAATTTGAAGATATTTGCGCATCGAAATAACATCATCTAATGAAATATTTGAGGTAGGCTCAAATTTAATTGTTTAGAGCCTCAACTTTATATAAACTTTTCCCTTAAAAGAAATGAAAAAGTATACCACGATACCATTTATTTTTGGTACAAATAGGTCCTAGTCACACTTGTCAATCTGATTTCAAATCGGGTGGTTTTAAGAGTACATTGACCGACTCAACTTAAAAAAAATCTAAAACGCTGCGATACACCCCAAATCATCTATTTTGATATCGAATGACTATGAGTGATTGTGACCTCCTTATAACAAAAAATAAATAGTTTCATAGTATACAATATCTAAGAGGAATCCAAACTCCAACTAAATCTATCACATTGTCAAAACCAGCGGAGCATTCGCTCATCTTCCATTAACGTCTAAATCCAATCTGCCATTAAAACCCGTCCTAAAAAGAAAATGAATCCAAACATTTGCCTAATAAGCGCTTAATGCACAAGAATTTTTACTAGCAATTGCAATGGACAATTTACAAGCAAATTAGTTTACAGTTATTTACTATAAAATCATTGTCATTAATTGTATCATAAAGAAGAAAGAAAGATATATTAGAACCAATGAAAATCCAGATTTCTAGTTTTACTGCGACTTTCAATGATTTACTTGAAAACATAGTGACTAAAGCTTTATTTTTTATTTTTTGCCCTGAAAAACTCTGTAAATATTCGGTGACCTCATTTTTTTTTGCCCTAATTGCTAACTATATCTGTTGCCAGTTGTTCTGTTCTTTTTACCGCAATCCTTGCTGTAATTTACTCAAAAACACAGTGACTATGGCTTTCAGTCAACAAAAGGAAATCATGAGACGATCCTGGTTAAGATAATTGAATAAATAAAAGTCAGTATGCAGCTTGTAAGGATCATACATCAATGTGTGCCAGAAAATATTTTTACTGTAATCCAAAAGAGAAGAAAAGAAAACAAGATTCACCATTAAAACTCAGAACTTATGTTGCGCAGGTAATTTTACAGACAATGGAACAAGAATTGAGGAAGAACAAATAATCATAAAGATATTCTTAAGCCAAAAGCACCTTTGAATCCACATTAAAATTCAAAAGAAATCAATTTAATGGAGTCCCAAAACATGGAGGCCATTTCCTAGAGATTGAAACGAGGGAGAGAAGTTTAGATCCTGTTGCTAATGAATTCTACTCATATGTTGGTTTTGGTTAGCATTCATATGCAATGTCACCAAATTGAAGGGAGAATGCAAACCAAAATAAGAGAGAGAACGACTTAGAAAGAAGAGAGAGCGTGCAGGGCAGAGACAGTGTTAATGGTACCTCGCAACAGAGAGTGAGAGAGAGAGAAGAGCAGCGGTGGAAGAAAGATGCTCCTGCGTTGATCCTTGCATTAGAGGGAGAGGTAGAGCAGCTGCAGAAGAAGATGGTGAGAAAGATCAGGGCTTTGACACTGCATCTGATGCATTTTCTGCAATTCAAACTCAGAAGTTCAGAATTCTTCGTGAAGATACGTCTCCCAGAGAATTATTTCTAGATATCCAAATGGGCCCTTCTGTAATCTTATAATTTGGAGTTACACTCGGCTTCCTGTAAAAGCTGTCGCAAATATGAATACGATTTTTTAAAGCAAAAGAGAGATGGCTTGGCCATGTAATAGAAATGGCACTGCTGATGATGAGAGAGATGGCTTGGCCATGTAATAGAAATGGCACTGCTGATGATGAGAGAGATGGCTTGGCCATGTAATAGAAATGGCACTGCTGATGATGAGAGAGATGGCTTGGCTATGTAATAGAAATGGCACTGCTGATGATGAGAGAGATGGCTTCTCGAATCGGGTGGTCACACATGTGAGAGATAGCGTCTAGGCCCAGGCAGTCATGTAATAGAGAGATGACTTCACGATTGGTGGTCACATAACTGAGAGATGGCTCCTAGGCCCCGGTGATCACATGACGAGGTGCCCCAATATGATACCAAGAGCTCCATCCCTACCAAAGTCACAAGTTAACATTCAAGAGAGAGTAAAATGCAAGTTTAGCATTGTTCAGATGCTAATACATTCATCTCAATAATTTCTCACCCAGATTATTGAAATCCATTAGAAACAAAGATGAAGTACAAAGAGGGTACCAGTACAACCACAAAGTTAAAACCAAGCTCAACAAGGAAAAGAAAGATGATCAACACTAACAAGAGTGCCCACAGTTCAGGAGTCCCAAACATACCTGTAAAGAAGGAAAGCAACCACATACATG